TAGTAAAGGCCTAACGATGGGCTAGTGATTCCGGCATTTTCAAAATTAGCGCGTTAATTGGTACAGCAAACTTTGAATTTTTGTTGAAAAGCCTGGGAAATTTTAAAATTTGGACTTTGACGCGTCAAAGTCATCGTAAAAGTCGCACATCGCGATTTGCCGTTGTTGGAGCCAATTTTTCTAACGGCTTCCGGAAAACCATCTCTGCCTGGTCCATTTTTAACGGATAACGCGTCAATTTTTGGATTCGCTTTCTCGAAAAATGGCACCGCCTAAGCGAAATTTTTGTGATCAAAATTTCGACAATCCCATGAAAAGTGAATTATATTCAAACTGAAAATATTCGCCGTGAATATATCATCTAGATGAAAAATGATGACGTCAAAAAAAAAAGTTTTCACAATGAAAAAAGAAAAAATCCCGACGTGTAAGTCAAACGTGAGATTTGGAAGAGCGTCAGTCATAACACGACATCGACGCGATGAGGGCTCGCCTCAAGACTTCCTCTCCTCCTGTCGGTTCGTTCTTTCTTGGGATCTTTTTTGTGAAACGGAATAGGTATCCAGAATCTTTAGAGTTGCATCTCAACGGTGGAAGGTTGGAAGGCAGACAATTCAAGTCATTTTTTCATAGGATAGAAACTTTCTAAAGTCCTACGTGGCAACTAGGTCAATTACGTGGCGCGTATAAACCAATCATTTTCATTTTTTGTAAATGAAAACTAAATGTAGATTTAAATGAATGTGAATGTAAATGTAAATGAAAACGGTTGGAACCTATTTTGCGCTATTTTTTGTCAACGTAACATACTGCTACAGACAAATTTCATTCTCAGAAAGACATATTTAGAAGCAAGGATGATTTTTTATTGAAATTTTCGACTAAATCCTTTCCCGTTGTGCACAAGGCTTCGACACACCACTCACAAAATAAGTAGTTATAAAAATACAAGACAGAAGTGCAGTAAAATATTCAGTAACGGGAATTAGTCCACCCTAAGGAGAAGACTTTGACGCGGATGAAGAAAAGAATTAGAATCAGGAAGGTATTGAGTCGAAGAAGGCAGAATTTGGGTGATCGTTAAGTTGGATCCGTAAAAAATCAATGGAGACGTTAAAATCTATTCTGAAGGTCAATTTATTTTGTAATAGTTTTGAAATAAAAAAAGAAAAAAATAACTTGTTTTCAGAGAAATACAGAATAAAAAACTTTCGTTGTCAATTGTTCAAGACACTTATTTCAGTAACGACAATCATCCTGCTCTTTTCGATTTTCTTGATCAACACCACTCCAACATTCGCTCAATTCCGTCAGTTATCACCCAATTGCTTTTGTTATTTTCTGCTTCTTTCAGAATGTTGCAACTCGCCTGTTTTTGGAATCGGTGTAGAAAGTTGTGGTATGCGTGGCTGTCTGGAGTGCACAAGAGGCGAACTCATCGTTAAGAAGCAGCCAGTAGACGTGGGCAACGCCTTTGGAGCATCGGGAACTTTGGAATCGGCATCGCGAATAGTCTTAGAAGACAATCCGGGACAAGCACGTTTCCAAAAATTGCAGTCTTTATTTCTCAACGCCAGCGATTACAAACTCTTCCCAGGTAACTTTTTTCACCAAAATTTTTCCGAATTTTTTGTAATTTTCAATAAAAAGCTCAACAAAACTTTACATGCAACGCTATTATGAGGTTAAAACGTTTTTTTTTTTCCAGAGCCATTGATCCGCATCCGAAACTCTGAAGTTGCTGATAATGCGTTCAGTCTTCTGACGAACATAACCATCTTTCCGCTCGAACCTTATTGCCAGAAAGGAACGATTTTCGATATCGACAACATGAAAAAGAAGCCTTGGGATCGGTTGAGAAAGTTGGAAAAGGTTACATTTTTTTAAATATAAGCTTGAAGATTAATTAAATAAAACGTTAGTTCTGAAGAAACCAGCACTTTTTTCAGGATCTGTTGGCATCGTGCCCGAAACCAACCACGCAGGCCCCACCTCCGGCTACAGCTCCAAATTTGCCACCAAATTCGGCACCAAGTTCGCCACAAATCTCCGGATCACTTCCTAAGCCGATTTCGGGTCAATGTTCTTCTTGCCCACCAGTGCCTAAGTGTCCATCGGTTCCATCGGCCGAAAAAGCTTCTGGTAAGTCGAAGAAAAACCGAAAGATACTGATAAGAAGAATTTTGAATTTTTCTCCAATTTCACATGAACCTGAAATCTTTCTCAGAAATTCCGAAACGAATGAAAACGTTCTATTTTCCTGACGAAGGCGTCATAAGAATCTACATCTGTAACTGAAACATGTGGACACTTGAATGTTTAAAACCATTAAAAATTACAATTCCTTCAAATTCATTTTCATCCAGCTCATAGTTTCGTTTGAGACTTATCGAAACTTCGAAAATGGGAGGGTTTCGTTAGTTACGACGCACTGACGTTTTTCTTATACATCGGCAAAAGGAAATACAGTACCGCTCAAAAGTGTATTAAGTTTTGGTTTTTTGAGGATATCTCAGCGAGTACTTATCCGATTTATATATAACTTTCAGGGATAATGTAAAAATATACTTTGAAACATATACGGTATACAAATACATGTCCGCAATCACTGTGACGCGTTATAGGAATTTTTTTGAATTCAATTTTTGTTTTTTTATGCTTTTTATTTTTTTATTTTTTTATTAAATTTTTTTAAAAAGTACTTATGTTGCCATATGTTTCTTTTCATGTTTTCAGACATGGGAAGAACCTCTAGTAAAAAGCATTTGACTGATAACGACAAAAGAGCCATCGTTGTGGGTCGTCAAAATGAACTGACCATGATGACGTTGGCAGGAATGTTCGGCGTGACAGAGGCGTGCATTTCTCCGTTCCTAAAGCGTTGGAAAGCTCAAGATGGCACTATTAAGAGCCAACGCACTGAAAGACCACGTGTCATTGATCGTAATGGTGATAGAAACATTTTGAAGACGTCTAGAACCAATCCAAGACTCACCGCCCCTGCGATCAGACGGGAAGTTTTCTTGAATTCGCCGTCTCCGCCATCCGTCTCGACCGTGAAACGACGTCTGAATGCTGCTGGAATCATGGGAAGACGTCCACTGAAAAAACCGCTGATTTCTGAAAAGAATCGAGCCGCCAGGGTGAAGTGGGCGAAAGGGCATCTCAACTGGACCCGTCAAGACTGGAACAAGATTCTGTGGTCCGACGAAAGCAAGTTCCTCCTCTTCGAAAGTGACGGAAATCAGTGGGTTCGTGGACCGATTGGGTCCAGTTATCATCCGAAAAACCAATTACCCACTGTGAAACATGGTGGAGGACGGTCCTTTTTTCGGATCCGTTTTTCCAGAGGTTCTTCCCATGTCTGAAAACATGAAAAAAATCATATAGCAACATTACTACTTTTAAAAAATTTAATAAAGATAAATAAAAATAAGAGCATAAAAAACAAAAAAAACTCCTAAAACGCGTCACAGTGATTGCGAACATGTATTTGTATACCGTATATGTTTCAAAGTATATTATACATTATCCCTGAAAGTTATATATAAATCGGATAAGTACTCGCTGAGATATCCTCAAAAAAACCAAAAACTTAATACACTTTTGAGCGGTACTGTACATAATTTTGATTACTTGGTAATTTACGTGTAAGAAGATATTTTTTTGAAATGGTTATCTTTTAGAAGACATGTTCTTGTGTACCGTCCGATGTATAGTTCGCTGTTCTTTTTTGAACCAAAAATTTGATTTGAGAGTCTAAATTTGGTATTGATTGGCAACTAATCGGCTGGAGTCTTTTTTTTTATCACACGTTCTCTGAGATTTTCGAAAATACGTTGGTACAATAATTTTCAAGTTTGTTTTTTCGAGCTGAAATTCATGTCACATATACCATGCGACCTTCTCAACACATGACACCCGGTTTCGACAGGCTCCGCCCACTTTCAGGGTTATGGTGGAGAAAATACCGTAAAAAGCTAACTTTTCTCCTGGTCGAGCAAATCGGTTCAAACCAACTGTAACGCAAAGAGCACGTCATTTCGAACATTTTTCATGTTGGAAACTACTCTGGAAAAAATTTTCTTCTTGTGGAAAAAAATCGCTGAATGTTGAAAAATGACGATTTCCGCAGTTTTTGAGCTCTACTAAAACGGGGACCCCCGATGGCCTTGATTTTTATTTTCTCAATCGATGTATTGAGGTCTTGTGTGTTCGAAAAAAATATCCCTATATTCAAGTTTTAAGTGTCGTAGTACATCACTATCTCAAAGAACGCGTCCAACTTGAAATTGGCCAAAACTTCAAAAATCCATAACTACTTTGAGAGTTTGGCTTCAGGTGAGTTTTTTTTCTTGATGTACTACAACCAACTTGTTTTCAACTCAGAACAGTAAAAAGTGGAAAACGAAAACTTGAAAAATTTTAATTTACAAGTTTTCGATTTTTGGACTTTTTTGTTTTTCACCCAGCTTTTCCGCTTTTCAGCTCTGCTGAGGAGAAGACCATAGAAGGCCTGGAATTTTATTTGATAAAATGATCAATTAGGTCTGGCTTAGCTCAGAAAAAATATTCCCGTCTTCAAGTTTTAAGTGTTGCAGTTGACCACCGAAGCGCCGAAGCTGGCGACTTCAAAATCGAGTTAAAATGAAAAAATTCATAAACTCAGTTTTTTCACTTGAAAGTGAAAGGTATCCTTCCCAAAACTTTTCTTGTGTACATCTCATTGAAAAAATGCATTTTGCCTGTAAAAAAATGACATTTTTTCGTTTTTTCCAAAATTTTCCACTTCAAGGTACATTTTCCGGCCTGAGAAATTTCAGTGTCCGTTTTTCCGAGTGAAACTTTTTTCATGTGTCTTCTGGACCTTGCATATACCTGAAAGTAAAAAAATTGCCTCAAAATTCCTTTGAAACTCGGAGAAAAAAGAAAGAATTCGCTCAGAATCTCGTATTTCTGCACTTTTTCTAGATCTTTTTTGATACTTTCTTCTGACAAAAGGTTTGTAAATTGCTCTCATTGTGTTTACACTGGTTTTGTGGTTATGGAAAAAGTTTTGTTAGTTCTTAATTAATGAGCTCGCGATTGCCAAC